AAATATTATGCAGAGAATTCGGAGTGTGGAAATTAGAAGGTGTGGAGCTAATAAAAGTATTAGTCTGAGGGTTGAAGAGAGGTTGTTGAGGTGGTTTGATCATTTAGAGAGAATGGATCAAAGTAGAATGACATAGAGAGCATATAAATCTGTAGGGGAAGGAAGGAAGGAAGGAAAGGTAGGGGTCATCCTCAAAAAGGTTGGAGGGAGGGGGTAAAGGAGGTTTTGTGGGTGAGGGGCTTGGATTTCCAGCAAGCATGTGTGAGGATGTTAGATCAGAATAAATGGAGACGAATGGTATTTGGGACCAGACGAGCTGTTGGAGTGTGAACAGGGTAATATTGAGTGAAGAGATACAGGGAAACCAGTTACAGTGGACCCTCACCATACGATGGCATCACCTTACGTTAAATCCACCATACAATACGTTTTAACGCAAAAATTTTGCCACATCTCACGCTAAAAAACTCACCTCACGCGATTCATCTGAGCGCATGTCAGCTGCCCCGTGGGTGCCAGTGTTTACAAGCCAGCCAGTGCTGTTGCATCCACGCATACAATCGGAACATTTCATATTATCACAGCGTTTTTAGTGATTGTACCTGCAAAATAAGTCACCATGGGCCCCAAGAAAGTTTCTAGTGCCAACCGTGCAGTAAAAAAGGTGAAAATTACTATGGAAATGAAGAAAGAGATAATTGCTAAGTACGAAAGTGGAGTGAGTGTCTCGGAGCTGGCCAGGTTGTATGCCAAAACCCAATCAACCATCGCTACTATTGTGGCCAACAAAACGGCAGTCAAGGAAGCTGTTCTTGCAGAAGGTGCAAGTTTGTTTTTGAAACAGAGATCGCAAGTACTCGAAGATGTTGTGAGACTGTTATTGGTGTTGATAAACGAAAAACAGATAGCAGGAGATACTATCTCTCAAGCGATCATATGTAAAAAGGGTGGGAAATATGTACTATCGCACCACGGTCAGCTGCTGCTGCACCATGGTCAGCTGCTGCTGCACCACGGTCAGTTGCTGCTGCACCATGGTCAGCTGTTGCTGCATCACTGTCAGCTGTTGCTGCAGCACAGTCAGCTGCTGCTGCACCATGGCCAGCTGCTGCTGCACCACAGTCAGCTGTTGCTGAACCACGGTCAGCTGCTGCTGCACCATGGTCAGCTGCTGCTGCACCATGGTCAGCTGCTGCTGCACCACAGCTGTTGCTGCACCACCATCAGCTGTTGCTGCACCACAGTCAGTTATTGCTGCACCACAGTCGGTTGTTGATGCACCACAGTCAGCTGTTGCTGAACCACAGTCAGCTGTTGCTGCACCAGTCAGCTGTTGCTGAATCACAGTCAGCTGCTGTTGCACCATGGTCAGCTGCTGCTGTACCACAGTCAGCTGCTGCTACACCACCGTCAGCTGTTGCTGCACCACAGTCAGCTGTTGCTGCACCAGTCAGCTGTTGCTGAACCACAGTGAGCTGCTGCTGCACCACAGTCAGCTGCTGCTGCACCATGGTCAGCTGCTGCTGCACCACAGTCAGCTGCTGCTGCACCACCTTCGGCTGTTTCTGACCAACATGACTCGTCCCGAACCTGTCCATCCAACCCTGCCGTCATTGTTTACAAGCCAGAGTGGCCGCTTGCATGCATACATTCGATACATTTTGTATTATTCCAATGTTTATAGTGCTTGTAACTGCTAAATAAGCCACCATGGGCCCAAAGGAAGCTTCTAGTGCCAACCCTGTGGTAAAAAGGGTGAGAAATATGTATTATTGTACTATGGTCAACTGCTGCTGCACCACCGTCAGCTGTTGCTGCACCACTGTCGGCTGTTGCTGCACCACAGTCGGCTGTTGCTGCACCACAGTCAGCTGTTGCTGCACCACGGTCAGCTGTTGCTGCACCACGGTCAGCTGTTGCTGCACCATGGTCAGCTGTTGCTGCACCAGTCAGCTGTTGCTGCACCACAGTCAGCTGTTGCTGCACCACAGTCAGCTGTTGCTGCACCACAGTCAGCTGTTGCTGCACCACAGTTGGCTGTTGGTGCAACACAGTCAGCTGTTGCTGCTCCAGGGTCAACTGTTGCTGCACCAGTCAGCTGTTGCTGAACCACGGTCAGCTGCTGCTGCACCACGGTCAGCTGCTGCTGCACCACGGTCAGCTGCTGCTGCACCACAGTCAGCTGCTGCTACACCGCCATCATCTGTTGCTGCACCACGGTCAGCTGCTGCTGCACCAAAGTCAGCTGTTGCTACACCACGGTCAGCTGTTGCTGCACCAGTCAGCTGTTGCTGCACCAGTCAGCTGTTGCTGAACCTTGGTGAGCTGCTGTTGCACCATGGTCAGCTGCTGCTGCACCACAGTCAGCTGCTGCTACACCGCCGTCATCTGTTGCTGCACCACGGTCAGCTGCTGCTGCACCAAAGTCAGCTGTTGCTGCACCACGGTCAGCTGTTGCTGCACCACGGTCAGCTGTTGCTGCACCAGTCAGCTGTTGCTGAACCATGGTGAGCTGCTGTTGCACCACGGTCAGCTGCTGCTGCACCACAGTCAGCTGCTGCTACACCGCCGTCATCTGTTACTGCACCACGGTCAGCTGCTGCTGCGCTAAAGTCAGCTGTTGCTGCACCACGGTCAGTTGCTGCACCATGGTCAGCTGTTGCTGCACCATGGTCAGCTGGTCCTAGTGGCTTTAAAAGAAGAAGGGAAGTAACCCCAGAAAAGGACGTGCTACCTAAAGTCCTAATGGAAGGGGATTCCCCTTCTAAACATTAACAACTTTCACACACTCCCCTCCTCCCATCCCATCAATCATCACCAGATCTTCAATAAAGGTAAGTGTCAGTTTATGTGTATTAAAATTAATATTTCATTTGGTAATTTTTTTTTTTCATTGTGGTGTCTTGCAAGGGTTAATTTGATTTCCATTATTTCTTATGGGGAAAATTAATTCACCTTACAATAATTTCAGCATACGATGAGCTCTCAGGAATGGATTAATATCGTAAGGTGGGGGTCCACTGTATTTTTATATAGCCGGACTTGAGTACTGGGAATGGGAAGTACAATGCCTGCACTTTAAAGGAGGGGTTGGGATATTGGCAGTTTGGAGGGATATGTTGTATATCTTTATACGTATATGCTTCTAAACTGTTGTGTTCTGGGCACCTCTGTAAAAACAGTGATTATGTATGAGTGAGGTAAAAGCATTGAATGATGATAAAAGTGTTTTCTTTTTGGGGATTTTCTTTCTTTTTGGGTCACCCTGCCTCGGTGGGAGATGACTGACTTGTTGAAAAAAAAAATGCGTGGATGAGAGGGGCTCAATTTGAGTGGGACTTGCACTTGAGTAAATAGAACTATCAAAAGCTTATTTCTTGGGTAGCATTGAAAATTGGGTTGGGCAAATATTTTGTTAGAGGGATGGATTGTGAAGGACTTTCCTAGTATGGGCCAACAGGCCTGCTGCAGTGTTCCTACTTTCTTTTGTTCTTATGTCACTTCAAAGCACCTTTCAAACACTGCTTTGATGTAGTTTTTTGAAGTTAGAAATGACCTGCTGGTCCATGGGCTAGATGAGTTGGGTGGTGTTAGGAGGCAAGAACTTCACTGTTATAAAACCGAAGTCCCTAGACAATAGGTCTACCAAGTTTGGAGGATGAGCAGGGGCATTGTCCAGTAACAGGAGGCACTTGAGTGGCAAATTGTTTTCCAGGAGGTATTTTTTTTCACACTCGGGCCAAACACATCATGGACCCACTCTTTGAAAATTTACCTCATGACTCATGCCTTATTACTAGCTTTTTACATCACACAAAATTTACTCTTGATGACATTGTTTTTCTTGAGCACACTGGGATTTTCTGAGTGATACACCAGTAAAGGCTTCACTTTAAAATCCCCACTAGTGTTAACACAGAACAAAAGAGTAAGCCTGTCTTTCATAGGCTTGTGTCCTGTCAGTGCCTTTCCCTCCTGCATAATGTAGGTCCTCTTTGGCATTTTCTTCAAAAACAGGCCTGTTTCGTCACAACTGAACACTTGTTGGGGTTGTTATTCTTCAGTGTCTACGTACCCCTTAAATTCACTTACGAATTTTTCAGCTGCATGTTTGTCTGAACTTGCAGCCTCACCATGCCTTACAACACTGTGCATACCACTATTCTTAAAGCTGTCAAACCAGCCTCTTCTGGCCTTAAATTCATTCATCAACACTCGTTGCAGGCATTTTCTTTATGAGATCATCATGCAACTGCCTTGCCTTTTCACAAACGATCGACTCCGAAACACTATCACTCGCTACCTGTTTATTTTTTATCCACACCAGCAACAACTTCTCACCTCTTCGACTGTTTGTGATCTATTTTTGGTTAACATATCTACACCTTTTGCAACATCAGCTTCCTTGATTTCTTTTCTCTTCACCAGGATGGAATTGATTGTTGATTTGTTTTTGCCATACATCCTAGCAAGCTCCACCACACACACACCACTCATATTTTTGTACAATATCTTTCTTCACTTCTATCGTGTTTTTCACTTTCTTTACCAAAGGGGTGCCACTAGGAAGTTTCTTTGGGCTCATGGTTAATTACGTAGCAGCCGCACTCAAACGACAAGCACAAAGCACAATGAATTATATTGTGAAATGTTTGGATAAGTGTGCAGGGTAATGTTCACTCAAAGATAAACAAAGCCACACTGACTCATGATGCCTGTGCGGGCAGGCAGACAGGTCTGGTATGCGGGCCGAAACACGGGGCACAGTGCGAAACTTGAGGCAATATTTAGCCGAAAAAAGCGGTCTAAATTTGAAGCTGCCGATACTCAAGGCAGCCGAAACTCGGGGTTCCACTTTTTTATGACTATTATTATGCGTTATTTAGCTTTCCACAACTGTCAAGTAGAAATGAAGAGAAATGCACATTTTTATTAACATTGCATAGGATTGTTTTTGAAGTACTATAGATTCTTTTGTAATTTGTTTTATTTGCTTGCAGTGCTCTTGATGCAGAATCAGAGGGTGTGGTGCAGGCAGCTTTGGAGAACTGCATCGAAGGACGTACTGTACTCATCATTGCTCATCGCCTCTCTACAATCCAGAATGCTGATGTTATTGCTGTTATGTCCCACGGAAAATTAGCAGAGGTAAGATAAATGTTATTTTATTTCTTTTGATGATAAGTGATAGAGTTTTCGAACCAGCATGTAAATTTCTTTAAAAAAGTTATTGTTTATTCATGAGCCATACGTCAGTAATGTATTGTAGATCACAAAAAAAGAAGTTTATATGGAAGTGTTTTGAGACAGCTCTCTCATTGAACAATTAGCATATTAGCCCTTAACCCTTTGAGGGTCCATCCTGTAGTACTACAGCTTTGAAGCCAGAGTCCAAGCCGTAGTACTACATCATGAATTCAGCTCACTCAGATAAGCTGTGAGTGGTAAATTTGGGCCTAGATATAAAAGAATGCTTCTGTGTGGTAAGTGTGCACCATATAAAACAAATCCTGCGGCACGCATTGCGACCGTGTTTTTGGATTAAAACAGCGACTGCAGTGTATTATCGTATGGTTCTTACAGATGTATTTGCGGTTTTTTGGTCTCATTTGATAGAATGGAAGATATGTTACATAAATAAAGATGATTTTGATTGATTTTAGTACTGAAAATAGCTTGAAATTGAGCCCAAAGTAGTGGAAATGTTCGATTTTTGCCGATGCTCAAGAGTAAATTAATCACATCACGCATCCATTACACATCAGCTGGTGGGTCTAATGTGCATTCACGAATAAGAAGAACATAAGAAAAAAGGAACACTGCAGCAGGCCTACTGACCCATGCAAAGCAAGTTCATTTCTCCTCCCCCCTTCCCGGATTAGCCCAATGACCCACCTAGTCAGGTCACTTCCACTTAAGGAAGGAGCATGGCATCAGACCTAGTAGCATAAGCTAGTCAGGTCCAACTCACACCCGCCCACACCCATTCATGTATTTATCTAACCAATTTTTAAAACTACACAACGTTTTAGCCTCTATAACTGTACTCGGGAGTTTGTTCCACTCATCCACAACTCTGTTATCAAACCAGTGCTTTCCTATATCCTTCCTGAATCTGAATTTTTCCAACTTGAAACCATTGCTGCGAGTCCTGTCTTGGCTGGAAATTTTCAGCACGCTATTTACATCCCCTTTATTTATTTCTGTTTTCCATTTATACACCTCGATCATGTCCCCCCTAATTCTACGCCTTTCAAAAGAGTGCAGATTCAGGGGCCTCAGTCTATCCTCATAGGGAAGATTTCTGATACATGGGATCAACTTTGTCATCCTCCTCTTTACGTTTTCCAGTGCATTTATATCCATTCTGTAATACAGTGACCATAACTGTGCAGCATAATCTAAATGAGGCCTAACCAAGGATATATAGAGTTGAAGAACAACCTGAGGACTTCTATTATTTATACTTCTAGATATGAAGCCAAGGATTCTGTTAGCTTTATTGCAAACACTAATGCACTGTTGTCTTGGTTTTAGATTACTGCTAACCAGAACTCCTAAATTCTTTTTTGCAATCAGTAGTATTAAGATCTACCAGTTTACAATGATATGTTGAAAAGATTAGCCAAAGGTATGCTAAGTTCCTCTTTACATTCCTTTAACACCCACAGAAACAGTTCATCATGGCCTGGAGATTTGTTAGGTTTTAATTTCTCTCTGTCTGAGGACCATGTCACTAGTTACCGCAATCGTGCATAGTTTATTTTCGTCCTGTTCTACATACTCTGTTATTTCTGGAATTTTGCTAGTATTTTCCTGAATAAAAACTGAGAGGAAGTAGGTATTGAAAATTTTACACATATCCTTATCACTGTCAGTGATCTGTCCTGAGTTACTCTTAAGTGGTCCTGTCTTGTCCCTAATCTTACTTCTGTATACCTGAAAGAACCCTTTTGGGTTAGTCTTCAAATCCCTTGCGACCTTAGCCTCATAATCCCTTTATGCTCTTCTTATTCCTTTTTTTATTTCTCTCTTTAACCCTTTGACTGTCGCGGCCATATATATACGTCTTACGAGGTACCATGTTTGACGTATATATACTCATAAATTCTAGCGGCTTCAAATCAAGCAGGAGAAAGCTGGTAGGCCCACATGTGAGAAAATGGGTCTGTGTGGTCAGTGTGCACCATATAAAAAAAATCCTGGAGCACACAGTGCATAATGAGAAAAAAAAACTCTGACCGTTTTTTTTTAATTAAAATGCCGACTTTGTGGTCTATTTTCGTATAGTATTTATGGTTGTATTCTCGTTTTCTTGGTCTCATTTGATAAAATGGAAAACATATTATAGAAATAGAGGTGATTTTGATTGATTTTACTATAAATGGAGCTCAAAGTAGGGGAAATGTTTGATTTTTGCCAATGTTCTAAAGTAAACAAATTATGTCATTGTCCAATAAATGTCCAACTAGCCATTCTAATATGCAGTCATGAATGGGTTGATGTTATTTATACAATTATTACAGTATTTCAGTAGTCTGCATAATAGTAAGTCTTCTATTTTTTGTTGGAATAAAAATTCAAAATAGAAAGCAAGAGTAATATCAGAGGGGCCTGGAGACATGACTGATGAACAAAGAAAATGTTATTTTAGAGTCAGGAATGTCTGCATTGTTCATTCTGGACCTTATTTTGAAATTGCCATATTTTTTAATTTTCGTGAAATTGGCCAAATTGCAAATTTCTGACCACATTATTGGGTAGTTGAAATCGGTAAATGGGCAGTTTCTTGTACTCAATCGATAGAAAAAATGGAGTTCTAAAGAAACAGCTACGAGTTTGGTCGACTGGAACAACGGAATTAGCCGAAAATAGGGCTCAAAGTGGGCGAAATCGTCGATTTGTAAATATCGCCGAGGTCGTTAACTTCGCGAGAGCATAATTCCATCAGTTTTCCATCAAATTTCGTTTTTTTGGTGTCATTACAATCGGGAAAAGATTCTCTATCATTTCATAAGAAAAAATAATTTTTTTTTTATGAAATTTTGCGACACCAGGAGACACCTCAGGGTTGGGGGTTGCGACAGTCAAGGGGTTAATTGAATATATTGATTTCTTAACTGCCCATCCCCTCTTTTAATACACCTATATATGCCTCTCTTTTGACCAACGAGATACTTTAATCTATTGTTCATCCATTTGGAATCATTTTTGTTAGATCTAATTTCTCTTCTCGGAACAAGAGTTGTCTGGGCAGCTAGAACTATGCTCTGAAAAATGTCATATTGGCAACCAAGATCACCTCCGTGACTCATAGTCAGGTCATCCCAATTTAGCCCACCCAGGTAGTTTCTCATTCCCGTGAAATCAGCCAAGTGAAAGTCTGGGACTTTTACAGTACTTTTTAATGTGAATAAAAATTCTTTATTTAACCCTTTCACTGTTGGTGTCATATTAGTACAGCTGACAAGCCAGTGTTAGTGCTGTATTAATACACCAAAATTCTAGCAGCTTCAAATCTAGCGGGAGAAAGCTGGTAGACCTACATTTGAGAGAATGGGTCTGCATGATAACTGTGCGCAGTATAAAAAAAAATCCTGCAGCACGCAGTGCATAATGAGAAAAAAAACTCCGACCGTGTTTCTGGTTTAAAATGCTGACTTTGATGTGTATTTTCGTATGGCATTATGGTTGTATTCAGTGGATCCCCGAGTTTCGGCAGCATCGACTTTTGTGAAATTCGACTTTCGGCAAGTTTTTTTGGCAAAATTTGGCCTCGAGTTTCGTGATTAGACTCGTGATTTGGCGACCGTCCGGTACCCGTCCACCCATTACTGCGCACACAAAGCCAGTCTCCCACACAATTCATGCTCAGTGTGCCATTGTTTACCAACATGTGACCATCACCCCGCGGGTTCATACGTAATAATCCATTGTTTTTTTGTGATTGCAACTGCTAAATAAGTCACCATGGGCCCAAGGAAAGCTAGTGCAAGCCCTTTGGTAAAGAAAGCGAAGAACACGATCCAAAGGGATTTTGAAGGGTTTGAGGCAGACCCTGACCCTGCCAACCCTCTGTCTGTTGTGGAAGGTGTTGTGGCATTGGACAAGTCCATGGGGTTGGAGGTGAGTGACGGGGATGTGGAAGAGTTGGTGGAGGACCACAGGGAAGAGCTAACCACTGACAAACTGCAAGAGCTTCAATTGGAACAGCATCAGACCACAGTTTGAGGAACTTGCTTCAGAGGAGGATGAAAAGAGAGTGAATGAGGTGCCTTCTTCGGTGATTAAGGACATGTGTTCAAAGTGGAATGAGTTGCAAAGTTTTGTTGAAAAGTATCACCCTGACCAAGCTGAAACAAGCCATATCTGCGCCATGTTCAGTGACAAAACCTTGTCCCACTTCAGGCAAATCATAAAGAAATGCCAGAAACAGACCTCTCTGGACAGATATTTTGTGCAACAGGGTTGTCCAGTGACTCTCAAGTTGTTCCCAGTGGCATTAAAAGAAGAAAGGAAGTAACCCCAGAAAAGGACTTGCTACCTGAAGTCCTAATGGAAGGAGATTCTCCTTCCAAACAATAGTGTACATCTTCCTCCTATCTCCCTCCTCCCGTCTTCCATCCACCAAGAAATCTTCAATAAAGGTAAGTGTAATGTTATTATTTTTTATATGTATGTACTTGATTTCTGATTGTTTTCAGTATGTAAATCTTTACTTAATTTGAAAAAAAAAATTTATTTTAATATTTTTGGGTGTCTGGAACAGATCAATTTTATTTCCATTATTTCTTATGGGGAAAATGGTTTCGAGTTTCATGAATTTCGACTTTCGGCAGGCTCTCTGGAACGAATTAATCACGAAACTCAGGGGTCCACTGTATTACAGAAATAGAGATGATTTTGATTGGTTTCGCGATAAAAAGTACCTTGAAATTGAGCTCAAAGAAGCGGAAATGTTTGATTTTTGTTGATGTTCAAGAGTAAACGAATAAAGTCACCGTCCCGTATATGTCCAAATGGCCAGTCTAATATGCAGTCATGAATGGGCTGACATTATTTATACAATTACAGTGGACCCCCGCTTAACGATCATCTCCCAATGCAACCAATTATGTAAGTGTATTTATGTAAGTGCATATGTACGT